TCCTCCACTCGTTACCTGTATTAATGGCACCTGTTTGAACTTGTTATCAGTATAAAAGACACCTGTCCACAACCTCAAACAGTCACACTCCAAACTCCACTATGGCCAAGACCAAAGAGCTGTCAAAGGACACCAGAAACAAAATTGTAGACCTGCACCAGGCTGGGAAGACTGCATCTGCAATAGGTAAGCAGCTTGGTTTGAAGAAATCAACTGTGGGAGCAATTATTAGGAAATGGAAGACATACAAGACCACTGATAATCTCCCTCGATCTGGGGCTCCACGCAAGATCTCACCCCGTGGGGTCAAAATGATCACAAGAACGGTGAGCAAAAATCCCAGAACCACACGGGGGGACCTAGTGAATGACCTGCAGAGAGCTGGGACCAAAGCAACAAAGCCTACCATCAGTAACACACTACGCTGCCAGGGACTCAAATCCTGCAGTGCCAGACGTGTCCCCCTGCTTAAGCCAGTACATGTCCAGGACCGTCTGAAGTTTGCTAGAGTGCATTTGGATGATCCAGAAGAGGATTGGGCAAATGTCATATGGTCAGATGAAACCAAAATAGAACTTTTTGGTAAAAACTCAACTCGTCGTGTTTGGAGGACAAAGAATGCTGAGTTGCATCCAAAGAACACCATACCTACTGTGAAGCATGGGGGTGGAAACATCATGCTTTGGGGCTGTTTTTCTGCAAAGGGACCAGGACGACTGATCCGTGTAAAGGAAAGAATGAATGGGGCCATGTATCGTGAGATTTTGAGTGAAAACCTCCTTCCATCAGCAAGGGCATTGAAGATGAAACGTGGCTGGGTCTTTCAGCATGACAATGATCCCAAACACACCGCCCGGGCATTTCAAGGTCCTGGAGTGGCCTAGCCAGTCTCCAGATCTCAACCCCATAGAAAATCTTTGGAGGGAGTTGAAAGTCCGTGTTGCCCAGCGACAGCCCCAAAACATCACTGCTCTAGAGGAGATCTGCATGGAGGAATGGGCCAAAATACCAGCAACAGTGTGTGAAAACCTTGTGAAGACTTACAGAAAACGTTTGACCTGTGTCATTGCCAACAAAGGGTATATAACAAAGTATTGAGAAAGTTTTGTTATTGACTAAATACTTATTTTCCACCATAATTTGCAAATAAATTCATAAAAAATCCTACAATGTGATTTTCTGGATTTTCTTTCCTCATTTTGTCTGTCATAGTTGACGTGTACTTATGATGAAAATTACAGGCCTCTCTCATCTTTTTAAGTGGGAGAACTTGCACAATTGGTGGCTGACAAAATAATTTTTCCCCCCACTGTATATATATAAATAAATAAGTTATATAGTACGTGTGAGACTACATTTAAAAAAGATTCCCATATCCATTTCAAAAGATTCAAATTATTCCCATTTACTGTGCTCCTACATGTTTGTTATTCAATGATCTGTGAAATAAATGCATTGGCTTTTTGAAAAAAGGAACTGTGTGTGGAGGGACGTATGTGTCAGTGTTAGAAGGCTGTGTTTGTCCTCATCTTGTCTGTTACCTGAGCCCCACAGGAGGTTGCTGAGGGGAGGACGGCTCATAATAATGGCTGGAATGGAGGGAATGGAATTTATTCCATTTATTTATGGGATGAGCCCATCCTCCCCAGTTAAGATGCCACCAGCCGCCTGTGCTGAGCCCCTCAAGGGAGTTAGGTGTGAAGACCTGTATCTGTGAGTCAGTAGTTTACTCTATGGCTGAGAGTCCCTTGACAGTGTGCCAGACACACACTCGGCAGTGCTGAAGATCAATAGGCCCCTGAGACTGTCTGTCTAGAGCAGCGTGACCACTGATCATGCTTCAATCTCGCTCGGTCTGTGACCACAATCAGCAGACAGAACTTAAGAAAATAGACAAAACGAATGCAAAAGACCATACTTAGGTAACAACACATCTGCCACACTGATCCTCAACACAGGGGCCCCTCAGGGGTGCGTGCTCAGTCCCCTCCTGTACTCCCTGTTCACCCATGACTGCATGGCCAGGTACGACTCCAACACCATCATTAAGTTTGCTGACGACACAACAGTGGTAGGCCTGATCACCGACAACGATGAGACAGCCTATAGGGAGGAGGTCAGAGACCTGACCGTGTGGTGCCAGGATAACAACCTCTCCCTCAACGTGACCAAGACAAAGGAGATGATTGTGGACTACAGGAAAAAAAAGAGGACTGAGCACGCCCCCATTCTCATCGACGGGGCTGTAGTGGAACAGGTTGAGAGCTTCAAGTTCCTTGGTGTCCACATCACCAACGAACTATCATGGTCCAAACACACCAAGACAGTCGTGAAGAGGGCACGACAAAGCCTATTCCCCCTCAGGAGACTGAAAAGATTCGGCATGGGTCCTCAGATCCTCAAAAAATTCTACAGCTGCACCATCGAGAGCATCCTGACTGGTTGCATCACCGCCTGGTATGGCAACTGCTTGTCCTCCGACCGCAAGGCACTACAGAGGGTAGTGCGTACGGCCCAGTACATCACTGGGGCCAAGCTTCCTGCCATCCAGGACCTCTATACCAGGCGGTGTCAGAGGAAGGCCCTCAAAATTGTCAGACTCCAGCCACCCTAGTCATAGACTGTTCTCTCTGCTACCGCACGACAAGCGGTACCGGAGTGCCAAGTCTAGGTCCAAAATACTTCTCAACAGCTTTTACCCCCAAGCCATAAGACTGCTGAACAGCTAATCATGGCTACCCAGACTATTTGCACTGCCCCCCCACCCCATATTTTTATGCTGCTGCTACTCTGTTAATTATTTATGCATATTCACTTTAACTCTACCCACATGTACATATTACTTCAACTACTTCAACTAGCCGGTGCCCCCGCACATTGACTCTGCACCGGTACCCCCCTGTATATATAGCCTCCCTACTGTTATTTTGTTTTACTTCTGCTCTTTTTTTCTCAACACTTTTTTGTTGTTGTTTTATTTTACTTTTTTATTAAAAATAAATGCACTGTTGGTTAAGGGCTGTAAGTAAGCATTTCACTGTAATGTCTGCACCTGTTGTATTCGGCGCATGTGGCCAATAAAATTTGATTTGATACTTAAATACACACACATCTAGCTGACTACTGTACAAAATGACAACGTCAAACTGAGAGGGAAATGTCAAACAGAGAGAAGTGGAGAGACAGTGAAAGTATGGGGTAGTGGGAATAGAAAGGGGCAGAGTGGGGGTTTTCATTTGTCCTTTTGTGCAATATTGTAATTCCCGCTCTGCTGTTCGTCATGTCGTTAAGTCACTTTACAGAGAGAAGAAAAGAGAAAGAAATGCCCTATGTCTTGTGACTTAGCACACAAACACACACACTGAACTCACTATCTAGCGATGGTGAGCTGGCCTTATATGTCCTTGTTTGTATGTTTACAAGTGTTTATGCAACTTCACATATGATTGTTCATGTTTTTTGTTTTTACCACTTGGTCAACTTCCATCGAAAACCACCTCGTCACATCCTTCTGCTTTTAGATTTTTGAAAAAACTTGACCTTGCTGTCACCCTTTCCCCCACTAAGCTCTATTCAAATGATTTAGCTCCAGCGAAATCAACATGACTAGTCCAACTATTCTGAACAAAAACTTAAATGCAACATGTAAAGTGTTGGTCCCATGTTTCATGAGCTGAAATAAAAGATCCCAGAAATGTTCCATACGCACAAAAATAGTATTTCTCTCAGGTGCACCTGGGGACAACAAAAGGCCACTCTAAAATGTGCAGTTTTGTCACACAACACAATGCCACAGATGTCTCAAGTTTTGAGGGAGTGTGCAATTGGCATGCTGACTGCAGGAATGTCCACCAGAACATTTGCCAGAGAATTGAATATTCATTTCTCTACCGTCGTTTTAGAGAATTTGGCAGTACGTCCAACTGGCCTCACAACCGACTTCAGTGGGCAAATGCTTACCTTCGCTGGCCACTGGCACGCTGGAGAAGTGTGCTCTTCACGGATGAATACTGGTTTCATCTGTACTGGGCAGATGGTGGGGTTATGGTATGGGCAGGCATTAGCTACAGAAAACGAACACAATTGCATTTTATCAATGGCAATTTGAATGCACAGAGATACTGTGACGAGATCCTGAGGCCCATTGTCGTACCATTCCTCCGCCGCCATCACCTCATGTTTCAGCATGATGATGCACGGACCCATGTCGCAAGGCTATGTACACAATTCCTGGAAGCTGAAAATGTCCCAGTTCTTCCATGGCCTGTATATTCACCCAACATGTTACCCATTGAGCATGTTTGGGATGCTCTGGATCGACGTGTACGACAGCTTGTTCCAGTTCCCGCCAATATCCAGCAACTTTGCACAGCCATTGAAGAGGAGTGGGACAACATTCCACAGGCCACAATCAACAGCTTGATCAACTCTATGCGAAGGAGATGTCGCGCTGCATGAGGCAAATGGTGGTCACACCAGATACTGACTGGTTTTCTGATCCACTACCCTACCTTTTTTTAAAGGTACAGTATCTGTGACCAACAGATAAATATCTGTATTCCCAGTCATGTGAAATCCATAGATTAGGGCCTTATGAATTTATTTCAATTGACTGATTTCCTTATATGAGCTGTATGTACCTCAATCTTTGAAATTGTTGCATGTTGCCTTTACTTTTGGTACCCTAAAATGTGGGGACAATGTACAAAAAGTTTGGTACTTTCTAAACGGTTCACCCGATATGGATGGAAATGCCCTCAAATTAAAGTTGACAGTCTGCAATTTAACCTCATAGTCATTATATCATTTCAAATCCAGTACAGAGCCAAAACAACAACAAATGTGTCACTGTCCCAATACCTTTGGAGCTCACTGTAAAATTCTTACACTATGACTGATATGTAGTGTCTGTCCACTATTGCTGCTCCTGTTCCTTTTTAATCTATAGTGTTTGTTCTGTAGGTTTCTATAGCTGATAATGTGCTGTCTGTGATGTATTGATGAGACAACTCCTATTGTCCTCTGTCTACAGGTGTGCCGCAGGCTTCCTAGGTGATTACTGCCATCACAAAGACCCGTGTCACCCTGGTTACTGTCTGAATGGGGGGAATTGCTCTGTGGCTGTGTCGGGCATTCCGGGCAGCCCTACCTGCTCCTGTCCCCTGGGCTACACTGGGCAGCACTGCCAGACCCCCCAGAACTCCACCTGCTACCCCAACAACCCATGTGCCAACCGAGGGGTCTGCACCCTGCTCTCCCTCGACAAGTACAAGTGCCGGTGTGCCCACGGATGGACAGGTCAGCTTCTCTCTGACTCAAACTGTTGCTTAATACTGTACAAGCGCTCCTGATAAGTGCTGTGCGTTGCAGTTCACTAGTCCAAATCCATTCTTTCTACTATTTCATCATTTCTTTGGTGCCTTTGCATTGATCAGAACTCTGTATTGTATGTTGTGGCCATGATAAGTAACCAAGGACATGAGGCACTGTAGCCTAGCGGTTAAGAGCGTTGGGCCAGTGACCGAAAGGTTGCTGGTTTAAATCCCTGACTGACTAGGTATCTCCTTCCTCACTGTTTCCTCTATTTCTCTGTTAAATAACCTTAGCCCACTCATCTATTTTTCCACTGCCTCTCTCCCTGTGTGTCCAGGCATGCGCTGTAATCGTGAGGACAGCTGTCTGTCAGGACCCTGTGCTAACGGAGGCACCTGCAGCTCTCTGTCTGGGGGAAAGTTCAGCTGTACCTGTCCTCCAGGCTACTGGGGTCCCCGCTGCCTCAACGACACTGATGAGTGTGCTGCCTCCACCCCGGTGTGTCAGAACGAAGGGGTGTGTGTCAACACCCCTGGCTCCTACAGGTGTAACTGCGCCCCCGGGTTCACTGGCCGCCAATGTGAGACCCCCTACATCCCCTGCTCCCCCTCGCCCTGCCTCAACGGGGGCACATGTCGCCCAACCTCTGAGACCAGCTACTGGTGCCACTGCCTGCCAGGTAAGAGAGAGAGAGGGAAGGAAATAAAGAAAGATGGAGAAAGGCATAGTGAGGCCTGTGTGAATGCAGCTTATTGTTGCAATCAATGTTTGCCGTCCAAACACTAGAATCCTACTGGCGCTAACACCCAATGGAGCTTTGTGGGCACAACAATCAACTGTCAACCCTAGCCCATGTTATCTGTTTACAGTATAACTTGTCATTACTATGATAACTGATACATTATATGACAGAGATTGCCAGCAAGATTGATAGTAGTGAAATACACTATATATACAAAAGTATGTGGAGACCCCTTCAAATTTGTGGATTCGGCTATTTCAGCCACACCCGTTGCTGACAGGTGTATACAAGTGAGCACACAGCCATACAATCTCCATAGACAAACATTGGCAGTAGAATGGCCTTACTGAAGAGCTCAGTGACTTTCAACGTGGCACCATCATAGGATGCCACCTTTCCAACAATTCAGTTTATAAAATGCCTGCCCTGCTAGAGCTGCCCCGGTCAACTGTAAGTGCTGTTATTGTGAAGTGGAAACGTCTAAGAGGAACAATGGCTCAGCCACGAAGTGGTAGGCCTCACAAGCTCACAGAACAGGACTGCCGAGTGCTGAAGCGCGGCGCGTGTAAAAATCGTCTGTCCTCGGTTGCAACACTCACTAATGAGTTCCAAACTGCCTCTGGAAGCAACGTCAGTACAATTACTGTTTGTCAGGAGCTTCATGAAATGGGTTTCCATGGCCAAGCAGCCGCACACAAGCCTACGATCACCATGTACAATGCCAAGCGTTGGCTGGAGTGGTGTAAAGCTCACCGCCATTGGACTCGGGAGCAGTGGAAACACGTTCTCTTGAGTGATGAATCACGCTTCACCATCTGGCAGTCCGACAGACGAATCTGGGTTTGGCGAATGCCAGGAGAATGCTACCTGCCCGAATGCATGGTGCCAACCAATGTTCCCTCAACATTATTTTGCTACTGAGCAAATTTCAGGTCTGTTGAGCGCAAACTTTAACTTAGTTCGGTAAGTTGCATTGAAAGTGACTAATATATCGTTGATTCGATCACAATTGCCACAGTAAAGGGAAACGTTGATCGTGTTAACAGGGAAAACTCTAGAACAGTGGTCACCAACCTTTTCTGAGTCAAGATCACTTTGGGTCAAAATGCAAGCTGAGATCTACCGCTCAGATTTGTTTTTAACATGCCTTAAAAAACGTAAGCCTATGCAACATTGACCAATTAAAAACAGTACTGTAGCAATGAGGTTTGTGCAGTAAGCTATAGGCCCAATACATTATCACTGCATACTGGCTTTGCTTGAATTGCCCTGACAATGCGTTGTTCTGGCCATTTAAAAATATATATATTTCAAAATTTGAGGTAGGCTAAATGATCACACTGGTAATAGATAAGTTGTTGTATTACTTTTGAGACATAACTGAGTGAGCATACATTTAAATAATTAACTTTTTATTTTTATTTAACTGGGCTGATGATGCCTGCATCTGATGGTCAGTCTCCGCTCTCCCTTTCCTCCACTGACACTGACCAAAAAGGGACACCATCTTCCAGCTGATGACAAAACTCGAGTCGCACCGCATTATTTGTGCCTCATGCACAAATTCATGTTGTTACGCCTATGAACAGAGAAAGTGAAATATTCCTCGACATTAAAAAAGACCCAAGCCGCTAACAATAACAACCCAAGCCTATAGATACACTTTCCTACTCATTCATTACTGCTTCAGTGCTTGTTGTAGCGCTGAGTGGAAATAGGAAGAACGTGCATTTTATGGCTTATAAAAGTGTTGAATACAAAGTGTTCACAGTGCTGAGTAAGAACTTAAACATGAACTCACTCATAAAAACAGCAGCTCTTTGCAGTATTCGTTGACAGTCTCTCTCTAGTCTCACAGTATCAACTTTTCTGTAGCTTTCTTTTATGCCTGCTACATTACTGCAGACACGGTAATCTGAGCCATCGAAATTGGCGAGAGGAAGGCCTATAGTGCACTTTATTTGTACCTTCGGACACAATAAATGGTTCATAATGGCAACAGTTGCCTACCCGGTGTGCAGGGCAGCTGAATCGGGTGCACCTACCGCCAAAAAATTGGAACACAAGGCTTTATTGTTGGGTTTTTTACAGAAATGTTTGACGATCGACTAGGAAAGCCTTGGAGATCGTCCAGTCGATGGCGATCGACCAGTTTGTGACCACTGCTCTAGAAAGTTGAGTGAAGTTCAATCTTGTGCTTCTCTCCGTGGGCTGATATTCTGCGCTGCAATCCCGGGGGAGTTGTGCTGCAGTCTTGGGGCTACTGCGTGCGTGCGCGCAGCTAAGAAGGAACATTGGTGCCAACTGTAAAGTTTGGTGGAGGAGGAATAATGGTCTGGGGCTGTTTTTCATGGTTCGGGCTTTCATGTTGTGTAATTAGCATAAGTATCATTGTTATCTTTGTCTCTCTCTCATGGCAGGCTTCAATGGGACTAACTGTGAGAACAACATTGACGACTGCCCCGACCATCACTGCCAAAATGGAGGGACCTGCATGGACGGTGTCAATACCTACAACTGCCAATGCCCCCCGGAATGGACTGGTAAGGATAAAGAATAGTCCATGGTTTTGTGTCTGTCTGGTTGGCTTTTTTTCTTTTTTCGTTCAGTGTCTGTGTTTCTTGGTTTGTCTGTGGTTTCTCTCTGTGTCCAAATTGGGGGAGTTTTTTATTCTCTAGTCTTGAATGTCCAACTGTCTTCCCCCAACCCCCTACAGGTCAGTTCTGTACCGAGGATGTGGATGAGTGTCGCCTGCAGCCCAACACATGTCAGAACGGGGGTACCTGCAGCAACATCCAGGGCAGCTACACCTGTGTGTGTGTCAACGGCTGGAGTGGCCTGGACTGCTCTGAGAACATAGATGACTGTGCTACGGCTGCCTGCACCAAGGGCTCCACCTGTATCGACCGTGTGGCATCCTTCCTTTGTGTCTGCCCCTATGGAAAAACTGGTGGGGGACAAAGCCTGTCTACAGTATAGATATATATACAGATATCTCTTATGGACAGACTGATGGATAAATAGAAATAGTCTATTAATCCCCAAGGGGAATCTATAAGCACAGAAAACACACAGACTGACTGACTGTTGAATATTCCTTGCCAGGTTTGCTGTGCCACGTGAACGATGCCTGCATCAGTAGCCCGTGCCGGGACGGGGCGCAGTGCGACACCAACCCCATCAACGGCATGTTCAACTGCAACTGTGCCCCCGGCTACATAGGAAGCACCTGCAATGACGACATCAACGAGTGCATCATAGGTGAGGAGGGACTATTCTTTAAGAAATATCCTTCCTTTCCCTTTGGTACTTTCGTTACTCCTTTATAGTTCTGTCTAACTAACTTCTCTCAGGTTTCCCCTCAGGTCCAAACCCCTGTGAGCACGGAGGATTGTGTGTGAACACAGACGGCTCGTTCACATGTAACTGTGCAAGAGGTTATGGTGGGCCGCGCTGTGAGACAGACATCAATGAGTGTGTGTCCAGCCCTTGCCAGAACGACGGCACCTGTCTGGACCGCATAGGAGACTACAGCTGCATCTGTATGGAAGGTGTGTGTGATCAGTGAATCCCTATCTCTATTTCTCACGCGCGATTCCACACACACATACAGAGTACTGTTGTGTAATATTCTGGCTCGCTCTGTTTCCAGGATTTGAGGGAACACACTGTGAGATTGACATCAATGAGTGTGCAAGCTCTCCATGTCTGAACCAAGGGACCTGTCTGGATCAAGTCAAACGTTACATCTGCCAGTGCCCTCTAGGTTTGTCTGCCCTTTTGTAATCAAATTAATTTCTCATAGGGTTTCGGAAGGTTTGTAGCTACATTATTTGAAGCTGGGTTCTGTCCCTTAGGATTCAGTGGGGAGATGTGTCAGATCGACATTGACGAGTGTTCCAGCACACCATGCCTCAACGGGGCCAAGTGTATCGACCGTCCCAACGGCTACGAGTGTGAATGTGCTGAAGGTACTAGACAGCCTTAACCATCTCAACTTTCATTTACATACCTTTCTCGCATTTTTAAAACCATGATGTCTAAACTAAAGCATTAATACAGGGAATCTTGAACTGTTACTCAATGTTTGGTTTCTCTCCCCAGGCTTCTCAGGGCCGTTGTGTAAGGAGAACATAGATGACTGTGACCCGGAGCCCTGTCACCACGGGGTGTGTCGTGACGGCATCGCCACCTTCTCCTGTGACTGTGACCCGGGCTACACTGGCTCCATCTGCAACGTCCAGGTCATGGAGTGCTACAGCAACCCCTGCCAGAACCGTGGACGCTGCATCGACCTGGTCAACAAGTACCAGTGCAACTGTCTGCCTGGCACCTCGGGTGAGCAGAGACAGAGAATTGGTGGAATATTTTCATTTTATTTTTGCGGAACAAAAACGTTCGTAATAAGGGGAAAGCAGTGCAACAACAGAATGTTTGGACAAACAGAAAAATAAACTTACAGCTGCTAAACCGTTGCTGACACTCCCAAAAATATGAAGGAAAAAAGAATAGGGGGAAACGATCTTGAACGACATTGAAATGACTAAAACCAAATTGAAACTGTGTAGAAATTCTAATGTACACTATATATACAAAAGTATGTGGACACCCCTTAAAATTAGTGGATTAAGGCTTTTTCAGCCACACCCGTTGCTGACAGGTGTATAAAATCGAGCACACAGCTATGCAATCTCCATAGACAAACATTGTCAGTAGAATGGCCTTACTGAAGAGCTCAGTGACTTTCAATGTGGCACCGTCATAGGATGCCACCTTCCCAACAAGTCAATTCGTCAGATTTCTGCCCTGCTAGAGCTGCCCCGGTCAACTTTATGTGCTGTTATTGTGAAGTGGAAACGTCTAGGAGCAACTACGGCTCAGCCGTGAAGTGGTAGGCCACACAAGCTCACGTAAAAATTGCCTGTCTTCGGTTGCAACACTCACTACCGAGTTCCAAACTGCAACGTCAGCACAATAACTGTTCGTCAGGAGTTTCATGAAATGGGTTTCCATGGCCGCGCAGCCGCACGCTTGCCTAAGATCACCATGCGCAATGCCAAGCGTCAGCTAGAGTGGTGTAAAGCTCGCCACCATTGGACTCTGGAGCAGTGGAAACACGTTCTCTGGAGTGATGAATCACGCTTCACCATCTGGCAGTCCGATGGACAAATTTGGCTTCGGCGGATGCCAGGAGAATGCTACCTGCCCAAATGCATAGTGCCAACTGTAAAGTTTGATGGAGGAGGAATAATGGTCTGGGGCTGTTTTTCATGGGTCGGGCTAAACCCCTTAGTTCCAGGGAAGGAACATCTTAATGCTACAGCATACAATGACATTCTAGATGATTCTGTGCTTCCAACTTTGTAGCAACAGTTTAGGGAAGGCCCTTTCCTGTTTCAGCATGACAATGCTCTTGTGCACAAAGCAAGGTCCATGCAGAAATGGTTTGTCGATTGGTGTGGAAGAACTTGACTGGCCTGCACAGAGCCCTGACCTCAACCCCATCCAACACCTTTGGGATGAATTGGAACGCCGACTGTGAGCCAGGCCTAATCGCCCAACATCAGCGCCTGACCTCACTAATGCTCTTGTGGCTGAATGGAAGCAAGTCCCTGCAGCAATGTTCCAACATCTAGTGGAAAGCCTTCCCAGAAGAGTGGAGGCTGTTATAGCAGCAAAGGGGGGACCAACTCCATATTAATGCCCATGATTTTGGAATGAGATGTTCAACGAGCAGGTGTCCACATACTTTTGGTAATGTAGTGTACCTACATTTATAGTCCCTTCACTCTGTACAATTTGCGAACAGTCATCGAAACAAAAGCTAGACAGTCAGGGAGCATCAAAAATGCCAAAAGCGATGGATAGAGCAGGGGTATTCAACCGGGGGTCTGCACTGCAGGGGGGGTCTGCATTCTAAAAAAAATAAAGTGAAAAACATGTTTATTTAAAATGTTTTATAAATATCGCTAGCAACAATGGAATAAACTAATTGAATTACATACAGTACCTACAGTAGAAAAGAGATGAATCTTATTTCTAATGACTTTATTTCTCAACAAATTATACTCACTGGAGTACTTGACTGTATCACTGGAGTAAAGTCTACACCCACTGTATTTGGCGCATTTGACAAATAACATTTTATTGTATTGGACATAGGCTACCTTTGCGACAAGTGCTGCTGGTTAGCTCTCTTGACTTAGACATACATTTTTGCCAACACATGGCTAACCTTTGTTTAAATATCTAAATAGCTGCTCTTAGCGAAAACGTGTTTGGAGGTACCTTTCTAGCTAATAGGCTGTGTTAGTTTACACTTCCTCTTCCAATTATGTGGGGACGTCAAAACAATGTAAAACTATCTACCAAATCTATTCAGGCCATTCGGCCAGCGCACTGGTGCTACACACACACACACACACACACACACACACACACACACACACACACACACACAGACAGCCAGCCAGTTAGCTAGCTTAGGTCACACACTTTCACTCACTTAGTTTTCTTTGGAACACACCTGTTAAGCACTGTTAGCTAGTCCACAGCTCCCCCCGGTGGAGTCCATTGGAACTGCATCTTCCTTTGTGTAATGCTTCCCTCCTTTCTTACGTTAGACTCAAAGCTATATGGTTTGTCTTCTGGTTTTCTTCCCAGGGGTGAACTGTGAGATCAATGTTGATGACTGCGCCAGTAACCCCTGTGAATATGGAGAGTGCCAGGACGGGATCAACAAGTACAAGTGTGTCTGTGCTCCAGGATACACAGGTAAACACACACACACACTCTTCTCCCTCTCAACTATTCAGATCTCCATCTTAATGACAGCCTGATTTTTCCAGTGAATGAAATAACTAACTTTCTGAATTCCTTCTCTCACAGGTGCAAAATGTAACGTGGACATCCATGAGTGTAATTCCAGCCCGTGTATGAGTGGGGGTACGTGTGTGGACAAGGTAAACGGCTTCATCTGCCAGTGCCCCCCTGGCACCCACGGCCCCCTGTGCCACTCTGGCACCGACCACTGTGCTCCCCAGCCCTGTGTACACGGAGACTGTGTAGAGCAGCAGAGCGGGTACGCCTCTCCTCACCCTTTCTCTCGCTATCTATCTATCTATCTCTCTCTTTCTTGAGTTGCGTACTTCATGTAAAATAATATTTTTTCCTACCCCTCCACTGGTCTGTATGTAGGTACCACTGTGAGTGTGAGTCTGGCTGGGTGGGGCAACACTGTGACCAGGAGAAGGATGAGTGCCAGTCCAGCCCCTGCCAGCACAGTGGCACCTGTGTGGACAGACTCAACGGATACTCTTGCCAGTGTCGCCCCGGATTCACAGGTCTGAATCAGGGTTTTATTTATCCTTTATTCATATCCCATTAAACTGCAGTACCTAGAAGATACACGTGTTTTTCTGTTCACCATTTTAGTTAAAAACGTCCCTCTCCCCTCAGGTGTGAACTGCGAAGTCAACATAGATGAGTGTGCATCAAACCCGTGTGAGAACCATGGTACCTGTGTGGACGGAGTCAACAGCTACAGCTGCCAGTGTGATCCTCCGTACTCCGGTAACAACACCATCCACACTACTGTACTACCCAGGACCCTCTGGTGGAGCTGAGTTGATTGTATCGTGGGCATTTTGGATATTACCAATATTTATATGTGCGTCCACAGGAAAACACTGTGAGGAGGAGTTGGTTCCCTGTGCGTCTCATCCATGTGAGAGGGGAGGTGTGTGTCAGCCAACCCCAGACTACACCTCTTACACCTGTAAATGTCCCAGCGGCTGGCAAGGTGAGTATTCATAGAAAGAGAGAAAAGGTTTGTGTGTGTTGGGGGAGATTTTCTACCATTCAGTCATTGCATTGATGTTAATTAAAATGGTATGTTTGTGAATAGGCTTCCGCTGCACTGAGGATGTGGATGAGTGCAGGAAGAACCCGTGTCAGAACAGGGCCCGTTGCATCAACAGCCAGGGTAGCTACGTGTGCAAGTGTCAACCAGGCTACAGCGGCCTCAACTGCCAAACCAACATTGATGACTGCTCCCCCAGTGAGTTATCACACACCTCTCTCTTACTCTAAATCGTACTAATAACACATATACTACTGCATATTGGGTACTCTCCATGAGCACCTTGTACACTCTCATCTCTGTAGTTAGTTACTACTCTGGGTCTTTTAAACTTCTTCTTGTCTGACTCTAACCCTTTGTTTTTGTGTGTCTCTCCCTCTGTCTCTCTCTCCATCTCAGACCCATGTCTGAACGGCGGTTCCTGTGTGGACGAAGTGGGAGGGTTCTCCTGTGACTGCCGGCCAGGGTTTGGTGGTGAGCACTGTGAGGCAGAAGTGGATGAGTGTGCCAGTCAGCCGTGCCGGAATGGAGCTGTGTGCCGGGACTACGTCAACAGCTTTGTCTGTGTGTGCCGACCAGGTTTCGACGGAATCCTCTGTGAACACAACATCCCAGAATGCACTGAGAGGTGGGTTACAAAGGACTGTAACTGTAGTCACTATGTTAAAGGGTTTAAAGTTGAGATGCACTCAATTATTTTTCAATGAGTTTCATTTTTTATATGTGGATTGGGACACATTTAGATGTATAGAAAATGTATTGAAAATTAATTTCCTTTGCAACACACAAGGACTTCCTATTTACCTACGTCTGTTCAACCATCATGCATGACCACATCTTTCTGTCTCTCTCCCTCAATTTGTTTCTCCCTTCCTCTTCTTCCCTCTAGTTCCTGTCTGAATAACGGGACCTGTGTTGATGACATCAACACCTTCTCGTGTCGTTGTCGTCCTGGTTTCTACGGGACCTTCTGTCAGTATGAGCAGAATGAGTGTGACTCTCAGCCCTGTAAGAACGGAGGAACCTGCACTGACGGCCTGGGCTCCTACCGCTGCACCTGCCCTGTAGGCTACAATGGACAGAACTGCCAGGTAGAGTGCGTGTGTAATATGGCTCTTGTCTGGTTCTTCGTTTGAAAATCAATGCTAACATTTTATACTCACTTTTCTCTCCTTGCAGAACTTTGTGAACCTGTGTAGCCAGCCACTGTGCCAGAATGGAGGGTCCTGTTCCCAGTCAGAGACCACCTGGTTGTGTCACTGTCCTGTGGGCTGGACTGGCATGTACTGTGATGTCCCCAACATGTCCTGTCAGGACTATGCTGCTCGGAACGGTGAGCAGGCACTGCCTCTATAGTACAATTTCTTTCATTCAGCCACCTGTCTGTCACAAGTGAAATATGGAACTTATATGGGTAAAGATAATGACCATTTGATGAAGATATCTTACACATAATGCGTCTCTGGTTAACGTGTCTTTGTATGTGTCTTTTTCTCGGTCAGGTATCCAAGTGGAGTTAGTGTGTAAGCACTCGGGTCGCTGCGTGGACGTGGGTAATGCCCACCAGTGTCAGTGCCTGCCTGGTTACACAGGCAGCTACTGTAACGAGATGGTGGACGAGTGCCTTTCCAACCCCTGCCGCAACGGGGCCACCTGCATGGACTACCAGGGCACATATGAGTGTATGGTAAGTTGTGTATGACTGTGTGTCTGTGTGTGGGATCTAAGTATTGCACTTACTGTACTGCACCCAGGGAAACATCTAACAATGTATTTTTCTGTTCCAGTGCAAGGCTGGCTACCAGGGGGTGAACTGTGAATATGACGTGGATGAGTGTCACTCTAATCCTTGTCACCACGGAGGAACCTGCATCAACCTCATCAACCACTTCTCCTGCGCCTGCCCACCTGGCACACATGGTAAGCAGATACCGGAAGATTCTCTCATGCTTTATCTATCTCTTTCTGGCTAATTGGTTTTTGCATAATGTACAACTATAATTCTGACCTCTGAACTGATAGTCTTCCCTCCCCTCTCCTCTCTCTCCTCTCTCTCTCTCTCTCTCTCTCTCTCTCTGTAGGTGTTCAGTGTGAGGTGAATGTGGACGACTGTGCTCCCAAGCATGGCTCCTGGGGGCCTCGCTGTCTGAACGGGGGCCAGTGTGTGGACGGAGTGGGCCGCTACACCTGCTCCTGCCCCCCTGGCTTCGCTGGGGAGCACTGTGAGGGGGACGTCAACGAGTGTCTCTCTGGACCCTGCCACTCTCCTGGTAGCCTGGACTGTGTGCAGCTGGCCAATGACTACCAGTGCCGCTGTCGCCTGGGCTACACAGGTAGAGTGCTACACCACTCTGTATATGTTAGAACACATCAAGTTACCTAGCTTACCCCATATTCATGCTGTATAACATGACATCTCTCTCTGTCTGTCCTAGGACGCCACTGTGAGTCCATGGTGGACCTGTGCCAGTCGAAGCCGTGCCATAACAGTGGCACCTGCTCCATGAACATGAGCTCAGTACATGGATACACATGCATCTGTCAACCAGTAAGTCATATAACGTTACCTTTTCAATGTTTGTTTTCCAACTGCCAGACTGCTGTGTTACTAAGTACTCCATGTGCCAACTTGCTGATATTTCTCCCTTTGTTTTGAATGGATTTCCAGCTGCATTGAAATTGAATTGTGCTGTATAAAATTGTATTTACCTCTAATGTAGATCTGGAGTGAGTGGCTGAGTGTATTATTTCCCTACTGCGGGGTGCCCCAAACTCAGTCCTTGGGACCCCAAGAGGTGCACGTTTTGCCCTAGTACTACACAGCTGATTCAAATAATCAACTAAACATCCAGCTTTGATCATTTGAATCAGCTGTGTAGTGCTAAGGAAAAAACCAAAACGTGCACCTTTTGGGGTCCCGAGGACCGAGTTTGGGAAACCCTGCCCTGCTGGCTTGTTTTCCAAACCACTAACCCTTCTCCTTCTGCTTATTCTCACGCTTGCTTCAGAGGGTGAAACAACACAGGTCAGGTATGACTGAGAACAGCAGTGTTCCAGGAAGAGACCAAACTTAATAGATTCTCACAGGTTTTATTACTAGTCAACTGCAGGAATGCATGTTAACAATGCACGTTATAAATGTAAATCCGAGACCACAAGTATTTGTCTAGCCGGTCTGTTCACATGTCTGACGCCCACTCTGTCCCGTCCCCTTGCTTAGGGCTTCACTGGCTTCAACTGTGGAGAGGTGGAGGGCTACAACTGTGCCAAGCTGCGTTGCAAGAACGGCGGGCACTGCCAGGAGTCTCAGGGTGGTCGTCCACACTGCCGTTGCCAGCCAGGCTTCAGTGGGCCGCACTGCGAGACCGTCCAGGGCTGCCAGAACCAGCCCTGTCTGAACGGAGGCAACTGTATGAAGGACCTAAACGACCCCTACCAGTACAGCTGTCACTGCCCATCCCACTTCTCAGGCAGGCACTGTGAGAATGTCATCTTCGGTCCGTCCCCCCGCACCCCCGCCTCCTGCCCCTACGTAGAGTGTGAGCAGCATTCCGGGGATAAGGTGTGTGACCCGCAGTGCAACAGCCATGAGTGCCAATGGGACGGAGGGGACTGTTCTCTACATTGGCACCGGCCATGGGTCAACTGCACCGCCCCTGTGCCCTGCTGGGAGCTGTTCCGCAACGGCCGCTGTGACCCCGAGTGTGACAACTCTGGCTGCCTCTTCGACAGCTTTGAGTGTCAGGAGAGCGCACAGTCTTACTGCAAGTAGGTACAAGAGTTGGTAACAACATAAACACATCGATACACATATACACAGAGTGTACAAAACATTAAGTACATGTTCCTAATATTGAGTTGCACCCCCCCTTTTGCCCTTAGAAAAGCCTCAATTCATTGGGGCATGGACTACAAGGTGTCGAAAGCGTTCCACAGGGATGCTGGCCCATGTTGACTCCAATGCGTCCCACAGTTGTGTCAAGTTGGCTGGATGTCCTTTGGGTGGTGGACCATTCTTGATACACACAGGAAACTGTTAAGCGTGAAAAACCCAGCAGTGTTGCAGTTCTTGACACAAACTGGTGCGCCCTGGCACCTACCATACCCATTTCAAAGGCACTTCCATTATTTGTCTTGTCCATTCACCCTCTGAATGGCACACATACGCAATCCATGTCTCAAGGCTTAAAAATACTTTTTTAACCTGTTGAAGTGGATTTTACAAGTGACACCAATAAAGGATCATAGCTTTCACCTGGATTCACATAGTCAGTCTATGTCATGGAAAGAGCAGGTGCTCTTAATGTTTTGTACACTCAGTGTGTATGTCTTATTAATTACATTAAAATGTCAATAGGAACACCAAGAGTCTTCTGAATTCCCTAACCCTCCCTTGTCATATATACAGATATGATAACTACTGTGCGGACCACTATGCCAACAAGATCTGTGACAAGAGCTGTAACACGAAGGCATGTGTCTGGGACGGCCTGGACTGCTCTGGGGACACCCCTGCTAAGGTCGCTGACGGCACGCTGGTGATCGTAGTGTTACTGCAGCCTGAGGAGCTGCTGGGAGACGTGAGAGGCTTCCTGCGCTCCCTGGGAACCCTGCTGCATACCAACCTCCGGGTCAAAATGGACGCTCAGCAGAAACCTATGGTGTATCCGTACTACGGCCTGGAGCAAGACAACGCCAATGAAGGACAGCCTTCTACGATGAAGCGTAGAGGCAAACGGGAGCTAGACAAGGAGGTTATCGGGTAAGGAGATGTGTATTTATCCTGTCTGTCTGTCTCCTTTCGCTGTCTTTCTCTCTTTCTCTACTAGATAAGATGAAGTGTGTATAGTCTTCCATGTTGAGAAGTAAGACTAATGGAAGTTGTATTTGCTGCAGGTCTAAGGTGTACCTGGAGATCGATAACCGTAAGTGTGCTCAGAGCTCCGTGGACTGCTTCTCCAGCACAGATCTGGCTGCATCCTTCATTGCTGCCGAGTACCTGAAGTCTGCGCTGCCCTACCCTGTGGTCTCTGTCAACAGTATGTCCCTCTCCTTTCTTCCCAGTGTGATTTCCCACACACCTTTTAAAACACCCTAATGGTTATGTTATATCAGCACACACTTAATTATATTTGATTACAGACCTGATTAAACCCACTTATCATGTTCTTTGGTACCAAATGGACTCTTGGTTCCATGCTCTGAATGCAGAGCCCATTTCAGATGGCTTCACCTACTTAAGAGTTCCATGTGTCCTCCTCCTCCAGGTGACCCTACGGAACCCCATAAGCCCCCGTTCCTGCTGTACCTGGCTGTGGGAGCAGCCGTCATCATCCTGCTCATCCTGGTGCTGGGCGTGATGGCCGCCAAGAGGAAACGCAAACACGGTGTCCTCTGGCTCCCCGATGGCTTCCTGGCCAAGAAGGACGACAAGAGGAGAGAACCCGTGGGCCAGGACGACTTCGGCATGAAGTGAGTGGAGAAAAGACAGAAGTTGCGTCTGAAATGACACCCTATTCCCTGTATAGTGCACTTCATTTGACCAGGGTCTGCATACGGTCAATATTGTTATTTTATTTTTTTATTCAATTACTGCACTACACAGGGAATAAAGACAAATATGTACCTCTATACTGTACCATGCTCTAGTATGTTCAGAATGGTACTGAACTGAGACAAATGTTTGACCAGTGTGCCATAATGTAGGGCCTCATTCTCCTGATCCACACACTGACATATTTTTCCTCTCCTCCCTACAGGAACTTCAAGACCCAGGATGGAGGGATGATGGACGGAGGCCAGAGCCAGAGGTGGATGGAAGAGGAGGCTCCGCCAAAGAAACCAAGGGTGAGGGTGAGCAAGAAGAGGAACAATTATTGGCAGCCATTTTGGGTCAGAACGCTCACCAGCTACTGGGTCGTTCCAGAAAATGAGTACCTTTTGCATCCCTTTGATATTTTAAGTAGAAATTGTGCACAAATATTGAATAATAAAAGCCTTGTATATTAAAGGAAGTGCCTTTTAATATAGACTACATGGACAATTCAATCAATCTTATTTGTAATATGAATAAAGACTTGCTAAAGTGCCAGAATTCAGCATTTTGACATGTCCCTTAAAGCATCCTCTGTGACTTCTAGGAAGATTTTAACCCACTTAACCCCAACATTTCTCCAACATTGTTAAGCCCTAGTTATTTTGTTGTTTTAACATAGTCATTTCTACAGATTATTATTTATTTCATGTGATAAGTGATTCATTTTAAGGTCAACCTTTTTACGTGAACTGAACTCTTGTTTTAATATGGTGAAATTATTCCTTTTTAAATATTTGTTTCAAAAGAGAAATTGAACAGTCAATGTCATAGTGTAAAAGCAGGTGAGCTGGTTGTACTCTTTTTGGCCATTTTCTGGTGTTTTGTGGTGGAAAACTGAGCGAGTCGAGTATAACACGTCAACCCTGTTACCCATAGATAGGTTTTATTTAACCTCTTGAGACAGAAAGGTTAAATTAGGTGAAATCCACCAAGTTACACTACTCTAAAGGCACCTAATTGGCGGAACAACCCTACTATACATAATGGCATTGAGTCAGTGTCTACAAATCTCCCCTCCTTTGCCTCCCTCTCCCCCAGACTGAGGACAAGCCCCTGCTGCCCATGGGTGTGGATGGAGGAGTGGACAGACGGGAGTGGACCCTGCAGCACCACAAGGCTGCTGACATCTCTCTCACTCCACCACAGACTGATCTGGAGGCAGACTGCCTGGATGTCAATGTCAAAGGACCAGGTAGAGTTTAAGGTTGAATAGGATTGGTGTCAATCAAGTGTAAGGATACCTGACTGAGAAGTGATTGCTGTGGATGTAACTGTCATTTTTTACTCTGACCAAATGGCAAAATTCTCTTCCAGATGGCTTCACCCCTCTGATGCTGGCCTCTCTACGAAACGGAGGGGCGTCTGATTGCGGCCTGCAGGCGGAGGAGGAGGAGGAGAGCGGGGGAGACGAGCCGGGACCCAACGCCATCTCAGACCTCATCACCCAGGGTGCAACACTCATGGCCCAGACGGACCGCACCGGGGAGACGGCACTCCACCTGGCCGCTCGCTACGCCCGGGCCGACGCCGCCAAGAGGCTGCTGGATGCCGGGGCAGACGCCAACGCTCACGACAACATGGGTCGCACCCCTCTCCATGCTGCTGTGGCAGCTGATGCCCAGGGAGTGTTCCAGGTGAGAGGCTAGGAAAACAGACTCTCATTGGAGCAGCTGAAAACTATTGCTAGTACTGTGCTCACATGGGTACCAGTTCAAAAATCGTATTGCGCTAATTGAGTTAGAGCCCCCATGCAGTCTTTAAAATTTTATTTTGAAATCATCACTGTATGTTTAATAAGTCACTGTGTGGGTTTATTTCTTGAAAAATAACTCAAAATATACTGAACAAAAATATTAACACAACATGCAACAATTTCAAAGATTCTACTGCGTTACATATAAGGAAATCAGTCAATTGACATAATTGATTAGGCCCTAATCAATGGATTTCACATGACTGGGCCGGGGTGCATCCATTGGTGGGGCTGGTCAGAACAATCAGATTGTGATGTCATTCTGTGGGCCAAAAACTCCATCCTACCTGAACAGGGTTAAATTCCAGGCGTTTTTTTTTTTTTTTTTTTTTTAGCTCTTGCAATGAAAGAGCATTATCACCATTTTTGTTTTAAAATGTCAGTGTTATTTCAACCTCATAGTGTGGAAATATAATTGAAGGTGCAATATGCAGAAATCGCTCCTCCATTTTCTGGTTGATAAAATTCTAATAGTTTGCCAAATTTCAGTTTATGTGATAAAACAAGAAATGTATAGTGTAGAGAATCATTGTACCATCTAAACCGCTGTGAAATATATACTGAGTGTACATAACATGACAGACTGGCCAGGTGAATCCAGGTAAAAGCTATGATCCCTTGTTAAATCCACTTCAATCAGTGTAAATGAAGGGTAGGAGACAGGTTAAAGAAGGATTTTTAAGCCTTGATGACAATTGAGACATGGATTGTGTATCTGTGTCATGGTGCACACATACAGAAAGTGCCTTTAAACAGGGTATGGTAGTAGTTGCCAGGCGCACCGGTTTGAGTGTGTCAAGAACTGAAACACTGCTGGGTTTTTCATGCTCAACAGTTTCCTGTGTGTATCAAGAATGGTCCACCACCCAAAGGACATCCAGTCAAACTGACACAATTGTGGGAAGCATTGGAGTCAACATGGGTCAGCATCCCAGTGGAACGCTTTCGACACCTTGTAGAGTCCATGCCCGATGAATTGAGGCTGTTCTAAGGGCAAAGGGGGGTGCAACTCAATATTAGGAAGTTGTATTTTCAGCTGTTTGAAGCTGGTGTCCAAAACTGAAAGTAGAAGACGCTAAAACGAAACGTGACAACAGGAAGCAGAAATAGCACACATAAAACAGATCTACCGCTTCTTAGACATTCAACGAGAATGACAAATCTATAACTCACATTTCTATGTGAATTTGGTCGGGCCGCCCAAAAAGTTGCATATAGCAACAACAACAAAAAATGACCCTTTAACACTGTTCCCCTCTCAGATCCTGATCCGTAACCGGGCCACGGAGTTGGATGCCAGGATGAACGATGGCACCACACCTCTGATCCTGGCTGCCAGGCTGGCTGTGGAGGGCATGGTGGAGGAACTGGTGCATTGCCACGCTGACATCAACGCTGTCGACGACCACGGTGAGCACTGGCATGTATATTGTATGATTTTACATTTGTTTTATACAGGTGATCCCATTGGGGATCTAAACTGAGACTAAACTGAGACTAAACTGAGACTAACTGTTCAGTAATACTTAAATAGGAAATGTTGTTTTAGTGATTTTCTCACTGAGCACTGCCATACAGGGCAAGGATTAGGAAAGACCTTGGGACTATAAGGTTCTATCTGCGCAAAGCATAGTTCTGAGATATTAAGCATAAACGTTTTTCACATACCAGATCTCAGAACTGTTTTGTAGTGAATTCTTCTTTCATAACCCATTAAGGTCCTCACCTTAAATGTACCTAAAGTGCAGAATATCAAAATCCTGAGACATTTGTAATCTGTTTTTTTAGGGGGGTGCAATTGCAGATAGAAACTTATGGCGCTGAAATGTCAATCTGGGTTCAGCCATAAGGTTCTATCAGAAACTTCTGAGTTAGACATGTTCAGTTTTTAAGAAAGCTGTAGCTATTTGAATACATAAATTATAGAATAACATTATTTTACCAAGACAGTCAGAACAAATCAAATACATCAAACGTATTATGATAATCAGACAAATTACTGTCATCACTGAATAACGATGTGACAAATACATTTACTTGAAGATTTCTGACTGTTGTTTTTTGTTTGCGTGCCATTATTGCTGGCTAGACTAGCCCATACTTGGAGGGAGATGGCAAGAACGTGTTCTGTTTTTCATTTTTTTACTTAAAATTAACTTTTTCAAAAACCTAACTTCACAGACATATGAAGAACGATCTAAAGATCAATTATGTGATTAACTAATTTTGTACAAAAATGTCAGAGAACCTTATAGTCCCAAGATCTCCCGAGTGGCGCAGTGATCTAAGGCACTGCATCGCAGTGCTAGCTGTGCCACTAGAGATCCTGGTTCGAATCCAGGCTCTGTCGTAGCCGGCCGCGACCGGGAGACCCATGGGGCGGCGCACAATTCGTCCAGGGTAGGGGAGGGAATGGCCGGCAGGGATGTAGCTCAGTTGGTAGAGCATGGCGTTTGCAACGCCAGGGTTGTGGGTTCGATTCCCACGGGGGGCCAGTATGATTTTTTAAAATTTAAATAATGCACTCACTAACTGTAAGTCGCTCTGGATAAGAGCGTCTGCTAAATGACTAAAATGTAAATGTAAGATCTCGAAAATCTCACTCAATGGAGCCCAGTTACCATTACAATTAATTAAAGCTGGGTCTTGAGTTTGCGTTGCGATCTTGTCATTTACATTTCGGTCATGCCATTGCTTGAAAACCAACTATCTGTAAAAAGAAAAGTGGGAAGTCAAAATAGTTATTTGTGTGCCATAACAGAGCAATTTGCATGTCTATCTTTCTGGCTCATATCAGGTAAATCTGCTCTGCACTGGGCAGCTGCTGTGAACAACGTGGAGGCCACTCTGGTGCTGCTAAAGAATGGAGCCAACAGAGACATGCAGGACAACAAGGTTTGTACTACCTCAGTTTGCATTTCACGTCTCTATCTTGTTTTGCACAAGATTTCAAACCTCATTAGTAGTCTTTAAGTCAAGCTACAGTGCATTCGGAAAGTATTCAGACCCCTTCAATTTTTCCACATTTCGTTACGTTACAGCCTTATTCTAAAATTGATTAAATTATAGGTTGGGAGCTTTTGTGAAGGAGCACAGTTAGAAAGATATGGCATATAGAAGCAAACCGGATGGACATCATGAAAATGATCAGAGAGGTTGAGAGTAGAAGAAGTTCAGGAGAAAGAACAAACAAAATGTAATTACTGTAAAATTGACTGTGTCCATAAAATGTAGATAGTGGGTATGGGCTGGAAGTAGAGGCCTAGGCGTTGTTGTTCACTAGTTTACTCCAAGTGGGGAAAGGGAGGTGGCGTTGGAAAGTAATAAAGGGGAATATATATATTTTTTTAAAGGATATGTATGTGTGTATATGTGTGTGTGTGTATGTATATATATATATATGTGTGTGTGTGTGTGTATGTATGTACAGTGGGGAGAACAAGTATTTGATACACTGCCGATTTTGCAGGTTTTTCTACTTACAAAGCATGTAGAGGTCTGTAATTTTTATCATAGGTACACTTCAACTGTGAGAGACGGAATCTAAAACAAAAATCTAGAAAATCACATTGTATGATTTTTAAGTAATTCATTTGCATTTTTTTGCATGACATAAGTATTTGATACATCAGAAAAGCAGAACTTAATATTTGGTACAGAAACCTTTGTTTGCAATTACAGAGATCATACGTTTCCTGTAGGTCTTGACCAAGTTTGCACACACTGCAGCAGGGATTTTGGCCCACTCCTCCATACAGAACTTCTCCAGATCCTTCAGGTTTCGGGGCTGTCGCTGGGCAATACGGACTTTCAGCTCCCTCCAAAGATGTTCTATTGGGTTCAGGTCTGGAGACTGGCTAGGCCACTCCAGGACCTTGAGATGCTTCTTACGGAGCCACTACTTTGTTGCCCTGGCTGTGTGTTTCGGGTCGTTGTCATGCTGGAAGACCCAGCCACGACCCATCTTCAATGCTCTTACTGAGGGAAGGAGGTTGTTGGCCAAGATCTCGCGATACATGGCCCCGTCCATCCTCCCCTCAATACGGTGCAGTCGTCCTGTCCCCTTTGCAGAAAAGCATCCCCAAAGAATGATGTTTCCACCTCCACGCTTCACGGTTGGGATGGTGTTATTGGGGTTGTACTCATCCTTCTTCTTCCTCCAAAGACGGCGAGTGGAGTTTAGACCAAAAAGCTCTATTTTTGTCTCATCAGACCACATGACCTTCTCCCATTCCTCCTCTGGATCATCCAGATGGTCATTGGCAAACTTCAGACGGGCCTGGACATGCGCTGGCTTGAGCAGGGGGACCTTGTGTGCGCTGCAGGATTTTAATCCATGACAGCGTAGTGTGTTACTAATGGTTTTCTTTGAGACTGTGGTCCCAGCTCTCTTCAGGTCATTGACCAGGTCCTGCCGTGTAGTTCTAGGCTGATCCCTCACCTTCCTCATGATCATTGATGCCCCACGAGGTGAGATTGTGCATGGAGCCCCAGACCGAGGGTGATTGACCATCATCTTGAACTTCTTCCATTTTCTAATAATTGCGCCAACAGTTGTTGCCTTCTCACCAAGCTGCTTGCCTATTGTCCTGTAGCCCATCCCAGCCTTGTGCAGGTCTACAATTTCATCCCTGATGTCCTTACACAGCTCTCTGGTCTTGGCCATTGTGGAGAGGTTGGAGTCTGTTTGATTGAGTGTGTGGACAGGTGTCTTTTATAGAGGTAACGAGTTCAAACAGGTGCAGTTAATACAGGTAATGAGTGGAGAACAGGAGGGCTTCTTAAAGAAAAACTAACAAGTCTGTGAGAGCCGGAATTCTTACTGGTTGGTAGGTGATCAAATACTTATGTCATACAATAAAATGCAAATTAATTACTTAAAAATCATACAAT